CTGAAGTGAGGCGCGGGCCCTGCCGAAGGAGAAAAAGTCCTTTTCAAATATATTTTCAAGGAATTTTTACATGCCATCTTTCAAATATTATTTTGAGCAAGAAAATGACATCTTTTGAAAATGTACCAAAAATAAAAGTTGATTAGAATTTAATTTTATACAACTTTGCTTTTATGACCACAGCCAAATTCTTTCTAGATTTTGAATTGTAAGGTCAAAGTCCACGTTTAACTCAAAACCCTAATTTTTTGGGAATTTATTTTTGAAGCCAAATTTTGAATTAATTTGAATACAAACTTTGCTCCAAAAATTGAACTAAACATTGCTAGATGATTTACAATAGTAGCCAAACATGTTTCACTAACCTAGCAAGCAAAATCGTAAGCAAAACAACTCTTAAACAGTGTATGCAACATTCAGGGTTTCACACATTTTTCAAATGTTTCAAGCAAAGATTTTCAATTGTTATTTACATGATTAGGCATGTATGATTAGGATGCTTGATGATGCATGATATGTATGATTAGCAAGGTTTAAATGCGTGCATAACACCGGGTGTTACATGCCCTCTCCCGACGGCCCGCCCTTGCAAGCACGACCTCCTCGTCCATGATTGCCTTTGTGGTCATCTTTCCTTCGTGGCGGTTGGCCCTGGTCTCTCCACTCCTGGTCACCGATGATCGCCTGTGGCAGTCCAAATCCCAGTCCACGAGACCTCCAACCACCCCACACATATGCCCAGCCGCTAACCACTAGAGTGAGAGGGAGCGATAGGGAAGGAGAAGACAAAGGAAATAACGAAATTAAAAAATGTCAATGACAAATGGATCTCACTTGTCATAAAGAAATTAGGGACCTTGATTTAAGGACTATTGTTGTAGCTGAGATGCTCAAATTAAAGTAGAGGCTCTAATTGAGGCGCGATGGTTTCTCTTATCTTAATCTCGATGTTTGGAGTACAGGCTCTAGAGCGGGGCTTTGATTTTTACCGGGCATGGTACTAAAGTACTCTCTTCACTACATAAGAGAACGTTCAAGAAAAAAACTGCATTTTGTATAATCTCCGGCGTTTGGAGTACGGCCTCTAGGGCGGGCCGTTGGCTTCACCGGGCCTGGTACTAAACTCTCTTAACTATAAGAGAGCGTACATTCACGAAAAGAACTGTATTTTGTATGACCATGCTTTCAAATCAATCCAATCTCGCGCAACAGTTCAGACGTTCAGTTAGCAGCATGAATGTTCGTTTGCTGGCGCCTTTGTTAAGTTTGAGTAGTAAGCTCAATCTGGCACTAGCTCTTCTGGATTACACGGTAAAACTTTAGCTCTGTATTTTTAGTTTTTTTTTTTTTTGCCATGAGGATCAAACAGAGAGGATAAAAGTGAGTAAATGGCTAAAAATTTGACTAAAATCTTTTGCTCCCAAAGAGGCCCTAAACTGGGCTAAACTCCCTCGGGGCAGGCGCTGGACGTCCCATACCCCTTGCCACTGGCATGCATGGCTATGCATGGATAATTAAATGAGGGTAAATCAGTCATTGGCCCCGTTCGCTTCGCTGAAAAAACAAGTAACAGCGTTGTTCTGGCTGATTTGTTATGAGAGAAAACACTGTTCCGATGAAAAAACAAGTTGAAAAAGACGGATTATAAGAGAAACGAACAGGAGTATTGTAGATTAGAGGACTAAATTTTAGCCCAAAGATGACAACCCAGCAGAACTAAAGTTTATGAGTTAAACTGTAGAGGCTAAACTAGTCCTTGACTAGTCAGCGAAAAGGTAAAAAGTGAGAGATCGCGTGGATGGATTCCCTATATCTCTAGCGCAGGCGCAGGCGCTGGCGGTGCGCAGAAGCAGGACCGGAAATCCACGGCAAGTGCCATCAGAATCCCTCTTGGATTGCAAGCCATCGAATCTTGCGTGCCATTACCAGGACAGGCGTGATCCTGGGGGCCATCGGATCCGCTCGTGCTCAGATCTCGCCATCTATCTGCATCAGCAAAAGCAGCCGGCCTGTGAGCCATCGCCGGCGCTCGCCGCTCCTCCGTCCCTGCCTCATGGCTGCTCGCGTCGCACATTGCCCGTTGCTGTTGCCTTCATGCCGGACCCTGTTCGACACCGATTGATCCGTCTGTGGCGAACCGGTCTCGTTTCGATCGCCGTCGTCCATCGGAATTAAAACATTGTAGATAATGTGGAGTGTGTTTTGTTTCCTTCCATCATTATTAGACGATGTAATGTAATAATGGGCTGAGAACGGATGCAACGCAACACGACCGGAAAAAAAGGCCCAATAAATAGGTTAGGTACGTACGAACCTTTCTTTTAGAACCATTCCATCGAATAACTTTATAGTCGGCATGCAGATAGATCGCGCGGTTTGATGGATCGATGCATGGCCTGATAGGAACCTGTGGATTATAGCATGTAGCCTAGCTAGCCACCCAGCTTGGACACTAGGGTAGCCGGGGTGCTGGACCAAAAGGACATGTTCGTCGTCGTCGGAGGCTCCTCCGATCGGTCTGCGTCGTCCGTGTATACGCAGTGGCGTGGTGCGTGCCTGTCTTCTCGATTTCTCTTGTAAACATGTATCACATATATACGCCGGCAGCGCAAATTGGCACAGCAACAACTCCATCGGGTGTGAGAATCGGGCGAATATATAGTTCGTGCATGCATGCATGGTTCGTGCATGCAAGTAGTAATGTACTCCACTAGTCTTTCGGGCGCGCCCATGCGCGCGGTGCACTGGCCAAATGTTTTTTTTTTGGAAGAAAAGATATAATCAAAGTTGGACTGTATGTTAATTTGAGAAAAATCCGAGGAGGTTTTCTCAAAAAATGGTGAGAGGGTTTGTGGAGCACGGGTCGATTTTCGGAAAAGGTAAGGGTTTTTTTGCAAAAAACCCGGAGGTCATCCGTTCTGGACTGCGGGTTGATTTCAAAAAAATCTGAGGAGTTTCTTGCAAAATATCCTGAGAGTGACTCTGGATCGCGGGTTGATTTTCGAAAAGCAGAAGGTTTTTTTCGAAAAATAACCGCGGCTCGTCCGATCTGGACCGTCCGCGCGGCCGATCGAATGGCCACGAAAAGCCAGCGACGTGGACACGCTTGCTGCGCGAGCTGGCCACACCGAATCGTATCTTTAGATATGCCTCGGAATACAAAGTGGACAGCTAGCTAGCTTTATTTTGTTCGGTCAAGGTCAAGAATTCATGCATGTACTTTACTAATAACAGAGAAAAAGAAACGTAGCTAGCGTAACGAGGGAGGGACAGCGTACGTGCGCGAGGGGATAGATGGAGAATCGGAGGGTACGTACGTGTGCGCTGCCCATGGAAACGTACGCGAACTAGGCTAGGCTGCATGCAGTAGGTACGCTCCTGATGCGCTGCGCTGTGCAGCCGACGTGCCCCGCGGAGCGCAAAGGCAGGAATACATTACGATTTCCCGCGGCGCCTCCGTACTCCTTACAAAGCGGCATTGTCACTCACTTCATTCACTGCTAGCTGCTACCTTGTCACCTTTCTATCCTCAAAGAAAATAGCTCGTCGTCCCCATCGTGCTACGTTCTACGACGACGTACCCACAAAGGCGCGCGGCGCGCCTGATGATCCTAAAAAGAGGCACGCGCGCCCGGGCTAGGTGGCTCATGATATCACTTCAGGATTCTCGATCTCCTCTCGGTCTCATGAGCTGATAGATGCACCGTGCAACGCGGAGAGGCCGTGGCCCGTGTGCACTGCAGAGTGCTACTGCTACAAGCAATCCATGTCGCCGGAACGGTCTCAGCTCTGTCGCGAAAGGCTACCTGAGTACCTGGCGCGTTTCGCCTACCGAATACCGATCGAAAGCTAGCTATCGCTAGCGCCAAGAGACGGGGCTAGGCAGGCGGTGTAGGTAGGCGTCTTTGCCCGAGGCGAGCGCACATGGCCGCGGCCAGCATGCCAAAAATGGCGTTGACGTAGGCTTTCGGGGCAAGTGGGCGAGCAGGCGGCCCCAGAGGGACGCGGATCCGGCCGAGATCGTGCCGGCCCGCGTCGTCCTGCTGTCGACCTGTGCGTGTCAACAAGGGGTTGGCCGCACGCCGACGCCGTCCGATCAGGGTCGAGATGAGTGCCGGCTTTCGCCGGTGCGGTTGCTACTGTACAGAAAAACGAAAGTCGATTAGGGAGAGCGACAGAGAGAGGTCAGGATCAGTGCGACCAAGATTAAAAGGCAGGGAGGGGTGAGCGAGCAGGCAGGAAAGGACCCAATCCGATCCTACGATTGATGGTATTATCAACCCATCTTTACCACTAGATCGGGCCTTTGCTGATCAAAATCCACCGACCTTGGTCCAAAGAGTGGATCGTGGACGGGGACGGCGACCGGCGCTCCCGTCCCTGGCTAATCCTTCGTCAATAAGAAACAAAACTTTCCCAAACCGGCATTGCGCAGCCGCACTATGGATCGATGAGCGCATGGCCACGCTGCTCAGGTTGTACTGGCTCTTTCTTGTAATTGTTTTAGCTTTTCCAGTAGTATCCATACTTTTGATTTCTTTCCCCGCTTCCAAGATTTTCTATTCGCGACACCACAAGGAGCGCCTTTTCCAACTTGGGCACGACAAGGTACGCAATCCGGACGAACACCAGCAAGTGGTATGAGCAATCAATGAATTGCAACGACAGGTAAAAAATTACAAAAACAAGAGCATAAATAACCAAAACCGGAACCTGAATACAGGCAGGCACTCACAGATGCGCTGTCGACCAAGGCCTATACCATTAGCCGTACAGGGCTCCAAAGCAAGCACAACCATGTAACTCAAAAAAGAGAGGAACCAAGCTCACCATATAATCAAGCATGCGCCAACCTGACACAACTCTGCTCACTCTTGCCAATGCAAGCACTCCATCTGGTTTGATCCGTGTGATCAGATCCTCATGAAATGGCAATCGATGGCAAAACCAAAACAAAATCAACCAGAAGGAGGAGCCAACGAAAAGCTCGTCCTCAGAGGTCATCTTCTACTGGCAAATGAAGCCAGCGCGCTTGCATGAGCTGGTGGAAGGGCACTCAGTATTGGCTGCATTTGCTGGCCATAGACAGATATCAAGTGAGAAACAGCCTTGCCAATATTTGTTTTGACTTCATCACTCTCATCTGGGGATACCACCACTTGGGCAAACACATGTATGACATCAGGCACAAGGGGAAGGATCTGCAATTGAAAAAATGTTAAGCCCATGAATATAGACCGATAATGGACAACTGGTTCTAGAATCACCTGGGGATGTGATGATAATAATAAACTGCAGATGCAACCATAGACAGTCATTGATTCTTCATGATCTTCTTTTAGTGGCAAAGCTTTGATAAAAACTGGAAGAACCTATAAGAAAGCAATCAAACGCTTGTTACACTTTTGAATCTGAAACATGAAGCTGTCCAAACATACTAACTACAATGTTGTTCAAACCTGGTTGAGAGGAATTGACTGAGGCTGCACCATTATCATCCTAGCAATAGCACCAGCAGCATTATCTCTTACTGCATCATCTGATTCTGAGTTACCAAACAAATTATGCAGAGAACGAAGTATATCCCCATAGTATCTGCATAAAGATGAACAAGAACTAGTGAGCAACAAAATTACAGTATCAGGTGTTACTCTTTATTTTAGTTATGTAATGGAGACATTGAGAAGTAATCCAACTGCTGACTATAAAATGGAACAGCATCAAATATGTCTCATGATTCTTAGCTGCACCATCCAACACTTCAGAATGCTAGAGCACTTTAAATTTAGGAGCAGTGTTCAAGTTTATCAACAAATCTCATGGCAGGCTATTCACTAGAGGAAAAAAAATGGTTTGCTTTTTTGGTCATTTTGAGAAGAACTCTGAAAGACCATCAGGTCCAGATGGTCATGGTTACTTCTAGGGCCCAGCAAAGAAAGAGAACCCGAACAGCATATGGTTTTGAAGTTGAGGATATGACAATTGAGAAGTATAGGAAAAGAATACGGTTCTAATTAAACTGCTCTCACTTGCTGACATATATTAATCTAAATATATCGAATATGGATAAAGTGAGCATAACACATACTTTCCCCTTGTATCTATATAAGAAAAATGTTGCATTTGGGAAATTAAATCAGTAAAATGCAAGTCATTATTTCATCAGCTAGCTTTTCTGATTATAAAGAAAACTTAAAAAATACAAGCTTTTTTCTCAAATGACGCAAGAGAAATGCGTGTCATTTCATCAAAAGTAAGCATACAACATTTTTTATTAGTGCAGCATACATCTTTTTATTGCTAATGCGCATATAAATTAAATACTACTTTCTTGCATCATCAAATATGATGATTCTAGAAAAAAAATACATACTTCAGTGCTGCAGCACCCCCATTCTTGCATATCTCGCCAACACAGAAAGCAGCATTTCTCCTATTAGTAGCATCAGATGACGCAAGCTCTTTCAACACCAAAGGCATTATCTTCTGAAGAATCCAAATGAAACAGTATGAAAGGGGCCGTTGAAATGATAAAAATTCATAGACATTAAAGAATGCTAGAAACATACATCAACATAAGCAGATATTGGAGCACCCATTTCCTGAGCAACCTCAGCTAAGGTTGCCACAACCATAGTCTTATCTTGGGGGGGATGGGGAGATTTCTGCATTTATTCCAGGAAGTAGTTTCAAAAGCAAAATACAAGACCACCATGTGTTTCAAAAGTATAGAACTTCCATTGAATTAATTAATCAATTGATGTGGAGCAAATGGGACTATGGAATACGCGCATATATAGAGAGGGAAGGGGGGGGTAACATACAGCAAATTTCATCAACGGATCAAATAATTTTGCAAAGATAGGATCAAAATAAGATCCCATCACTTTTGCAAAAGCAGGCAAAAGATCTGAAACTGCATCCATGAGAACTTCATCATGGTCAATGTCGCCATCATCCTCGCCATCTGATTCTACTTGTTGACAGCTTGATTCTTGACGTAAAAGAACCAGTGTTGCCTCAGCAAGCCTTAGCATGTCTGAAAGAGAGCACAGAAGGGTCAGTCTTTAACAACACAACCTAGTATTTTTTCAGGCCAACCAGTACTGAACAGGCACAGCTTACAAGGCTCAATTGCAGCAAAACCACAGTCCTTCACAATGTCTGCTACACTCATGCAAGCTTGTGCAACTACCTCTTTATCGTCATCCTCTGTCATAGTCTTGATGTAGATGTTCAAAACAGTATCTGAAAATAAAGGTGGCATGGTTATTTGCTATCAAACAGGCCAAACAAACGTGAAATGCAGTATATCCAGCATTTACCAAGGACATCCTTCTGTTTCTCTAGTACATCCTGGATGGTACAAAAGAAAACATTATTTCATCAAAATTAATCTTTAAATCGCCAGAAGGTACGAAGGAAGTAGCATATGAATATTAGCACAACAAAATACTCACAGCATGTGTAGGAGGTATTGCCCTAACAGCAGTTAGAATATCTGCAAGAAGGGTTATCAATGTAACTACCAACAAAGCCATAAAATCACATTTTACGGAACACTACAGAAAATAATATACATTAAGATATGTTGAAAAAATATACTTACTTATACTAGTGATAAATTATGAAGTACAGATGTTTCGAATTGATTAACAACATACCATTCTGGATTTTATGCAAAATATTGTTGGAATAGCACTTTTATTCTTTTTCCTGTAATTATCATATAAAAATAGTTGGCTACTGCACTACCATTGGGTGAGTCCGTGAGTCTACCTCTACCTAATGTTTTGTTAAGTTTTGGCATTCCAATATGAAATAAGAATGCTGGAAACCTCATACACAGACAATAGTTATAAAAGCACTTCATTTAAAAGGCCACACTTCAGTGGATTATATGCCCCTTTTCACCTTGTATTTCAGTAATTCAGATAGCTAGACAACTTCACATAGTGCAGAGTGCAGAATATGTTTTTAAGACATTTAATTTCATTCACCAAATATTTTTTTTTGAGTACTGATTTCGTAAAGTTACAGATTAAGCAATCAACTCTTCTTTTTGTTGAACCATTTAGCCTGACAATGAAATTTCCACAATGCTGCCAGTGCATGAACAAGGGAAAGGAATTCCTTGTGAAAATTCATGCATCAAAGAGAAATAGGGGGTAAATTACGTTTCAAAGAAATGACTGCCTGCAGCCTGAGATCTTCATGGAAATAACCACTGTGCCTGATCAAAATCTTCAGTGACTCCTCCAGATACCTAGTGTCAGTCAAGGAAGTTTCGAAAGGTTAAACTGTGACTAGAGCAGCTTAGCATTTTTAAAGGATACGGAGCATAGGCACTCTTCGTGTAGTAGTCTTGAAAAAACCAATGGCCTGTGTTGCAGCAGCTTTCTCATCTAATACCCCGTCCCTAACACTGATATTTCTAACTCTTGGCTCATCATTAACATCATCATCAGATGAAACACCACCAAATCCATTTTCAATACTATCAGCATCATCAATGTCCACAGCAGAACCATCATCCAAGTTGCAGGAAGAAAATACGAGAGGGACAACATGAGGAAGATACTGAAATGTGAAACAACTCACTTTGGTAAATTTAAACATCAATCTGAAATTAAATAAAATTTTAAAGACCCTTGTTACCTGTGTAAAACTATCACCCAAAATTTCAGCAACATTACTAAAGAAACCATGAGTGTACTCTCTGAGTTCACTGTACTCCAATCCAAAACCCTGCGAGTACGAAGAACATAAAGGTTGCACTCAATGCTGTAAAAGTAACTGAAGTTAATGGAACCACAACTTACAGCAATAGCAGCCTCAATAAAAGGAGGCAATATTGCTTCGATTCTTGCTCTGCCAACTGCCATTGCTACTATCCCAACAACCTCAGTAGCCCTAGCACGTGCACACAGATCTTCATCATTAATAAGCACCATAAAACCTTTCATCATCTCAAGGACTTTTTTGGCGTATGGGGTAAAAGCCTGCTCCGCAGCAGCGGCCACCGAACCAATTGCAGACTGCAGAAAATATCATCATTGTCAAAATAAAAGATGATTTTATGTTAAAATGGTTATCATCTTTCCAATACACAACTTATATAGATACTATATATTACTACACACCATGCATGTCTCTTGCAAGTTCCGAGGACTGCTCTGCAAAGACATAACCAATCTGCATATCAAGGGCTCTAGATATGGTAGGATATCTTCACCCATGTCCTCACAGAATGCTGCAAGAGCATAATATGACTTCTCCTGCAAGAACAAATGAATTAATTGATTATATTGCCAAGTTTACCATCCAACCTAAACAATTATGGAAAAGGATGTTGGCTTGCTGCCCATTTATAGAATAGAAAACATCATCGGCATTTGATGGCTATACCTTAACTTCATCTGATGGGTCTTCAAGAGCATTTAGAATGCATGGAAGTACACTCGCATAATGAGATAAAATTTCTGGTTGCAGGTGTTCAGCAAACTGACCAAGAGCAAAAGATGCAGCGCCTCTAACCATTTGTTCTTGGTCCTTTAAAGCTTCCAAAACAATTTTCAGACAATCCTCCAACTTATCTTTCAAATGTTCACAACAACCCTCTGAGATAACACCCAGTGATGTCACAGCAGCCTCACGATACTTCGGATTAATGTGATGAAAGCTCACAGAAGCAAACTCAAGAACTGGTGCAAGAACATGCCTTGGTAAGTTGATAGCCATTGTATCAATGACTTCGGCAGCAGAACGATCTGCTGCTAGATCAGAATCTTCATCTTCATTAGCTGTTTCCGTAAGCAATGGGCACATAACTTGCAGGATAGGTACAACCAGCTTGTGCTTTTTCAAGAAAGATGCTTTAAATTTTACCAGCCATGAAATTATCTGGATAGCCTGAAACAATCATTTGAAACAACTTAGTAATCTGTAAATAAGTTGGGAGATATATTAGAGGATGCTGAGGCCTGATCAAACCTGTTGCCTTATATTTATTTCCAAATCCTGGTTTGCAGAAACTTCCAGCGAGAATTTCACAATTGACCTCACAGAGTCTCCAAGAAGTGGTGCAGGAGATTCAATTAGTTCGTCAAAAATTTCAAACGCAATGGAAGCAACATCTTCTTCTCCATTAGCAAGACACTGCCTTGATACATTCAAGATACTGGGAACAAAATCCCGAAACATTTTTACCTACAAAATGTACACATATGGTCACAAGTTCACAACATTAGCTGGCAATGTGTCAAATGGTATATTCTGCAAGAACAATCATCAAACATGAAACTAAATTGCAACTGCAAGAAGATAGTGGAGGATGCAGACAACATTTATACACTTAAAACAAGCACTCAGAACTCTAGGAAAATTGTATCCGTACAGTTAGCAAGGTGAAATTGCGTGTAGCATAACATATTTCATATTTCGCACTGATTTGGAAAGAATATCATGTGCATACAACATAATAATTAGGTACAATTATCCAATGCAATTTGTCCCCAAGCTCCAAGAAAATACAAATTAGATAATTAAAAAAAAACTCAGCTACAAGAAGTCCTTAAATATGTAGTTCCCCTTTCTCCGGCAGTATGATAATAAATAACTCAATGGGAACTGTACTTATCTCGAGAACAACTTTCATTTTGCACATATGTTCATTTGGATAAGAGGTTTGCATAGTAATGATTAGAAATGAGTCAGAGCGTACTGCATACTACCTACATTTCAAATTGTAAGTCATTTTAGTATTGTCCTAAGTCAAACTTGTCTAACTTTGAGCAAGTTTATAGAAAATATATTAACATCTACAATATGAAATAAATGCACTATCAAAAATATATTTCATGTTGCTGTAAATAAAAAATAATAATCCAAGTAGTAGGGCCATAATTATCATAGAACTACCGCATTCTCAACTCTAATCAACTTTAAAGAAACAAAAAAAATTAGAAAAATACAGCTGACAAAAGCAAAACTTACAATGTCACCTCCATCATTGACATACTCTATGAATGATCCAACAGCCCTGTTGCACAGAGAAAAGTAGTTCATTCAGAGCACAATTTGGCCAGATATATTGTTTTCAATGAGCTTTTCGACACAAAAGTTAACCATACTTTAGGGCTGCAATTCTGACTCGAGAGCTAGTTTCGTCTTGCAGACATTTCAGTAAAATAGGTTGCAAATTGTTCAGATGAGACTGAAAAGTAGCTCCGATAGTTTCAGTAAGGGAGCTGAAAAGAATCAAAGCCACCTGCAGAAGAAATAAAATGGCAGCAGAACTTTGAGACACTCAGCATTAGCTTTTTGTTTGCGCAGATAAAGCAGCAGTTGCTTCCTGTACAATCAACCTTTTTTGCAAAACTGTACAAACAACTTTTGATAATGTAAAATGTTCCCACCAAACAAAATTACAACAGAATACAGGGTTCTAAAATGTTTGCCGCATGCCAGTACAACATGCAATGCTCGGATGAATAATTGATATTAATTAACAAATGCATTATCTGAATGTTAGATCAATTTATTGATGCTAATAACCCAGTTACCCACTGACACAAACATGGAGAAAGGGAAGTGAACAGCAAGTAAAATCATTGAAGAATGGTATAATGACAAATTAGGTTTCACATATGCATCAACAGCGTGACTCAACTTTTGTTTGTGTTCCTGACCAGCAGGAAAAAGAATAAAATTGTGTGTTTAAAGGAAACAGATAGGGTTTTACACAGACACAAAATGAGTCAGACCATTTAGCCCTTAACTTCAAGTGATTAGATGTATCCTCGTATTTAAGACTTCATAATAGACAAATGTAGTAACGTGCACAACAAGGAATAGTGAAGCCGATATGCTGCTGATATGGTGTCAAAATACCAAAAGATACACATTAATTTTAGCTATTGATGTGGTAAAAAATCAGAAACTTACTACAGATAGAAGAAAATGACATTGCAAATACAATTTTGTTATGTTTAACATCTACTCCTATAATTCATCTAATAGGAAACCACAATGTCATTCTCCTTCAATATGAATAGTGTCTATATTCATCTGCTTGGTAGGAATAAAGCCTTCATCAAGATAAACTTACTTCTCTATGATCATCTTGTGGACTTTGGCTGCATTGGAAAAGGAAAGGTAACAGCTCTGGCCACTCTCCTGCAGGGATAGCATACTTAGCTATAATGCTCACGACATTTGCACTAGCTCGCCTTACAGGATGACTGCATAAAATGGAAATAGAGACTCTAAGCTTAACAGAAGTACATGTGAACAAAAAGTTGTAAGGCAGGTCAAAAATAGATGAACAGCACAAAGTTTTATCTGCAACATTTGCACCAACTGATGAGATGTTTTGTGTTGTAACTTGTAACCATGATCTTCATGAAAACTATGTTCTATGGACCTCAGCAGGTTCTGATTAGTTTCAAGTTTCAACTGTACTAGAGATGTGTATCTCTTGATTTCAACCTACCAGATCCAGTCATTGGTGGTAAATTAATGGTCGACTCTGGTCAATATTCATGCCATGCAAATTTAGAAGTGTGATTTAACAAACTACATGTAAATGTCAAAATGTAACAAAAAACTTAGTTTTGGAGAAGAGATGCTACAGTATTTTTAGAAGTTTTGGGTGGAAAAAAAATGTAATAAACCATTTGATGTGGGTTTTTTTTCTCTGAATTGCATTCCGTATTGGCTCAACCGGACATTTAAATGTGAAGGATGAAATAGAGAACTACACAAGGATTCAATGCCATTGAATGACGTATGAAGAGTGCTTAGAATGCAAAAGTATTCACAATAAAAGATCACAAGCCCTTTGTCCTTTGCTTCCACATGGCAGTTGTTCCATGTTTTAACTCTTTACAAAGGAATCTCTGCAAGAGCTTAAGCTGTGGGTTGTGATCGAAGATGTGCCATGAACAAGAACTAAGCAGATTTAGGTCTAGACCCCAAGTAAACAGAAATGGTAGGCCATCCAATATCTGTATCAGTTACCATAATTCGACCACAGTGCACTATCATGTAACCAATTGAAAAAAAGCACGGCCTGGATCAATCAGCTCTAGAGCAACCATGATTAATTTAGCTCAGCAGAAAGTATATTATCATGAGAAGTTGGGATTAATCATCAGTCATGTTATAACATGGATGAGAATATATTGTGCAGATAATCTTCTGCAGTAATCATACAAAATTGGGTGGAGTACAAGCGAAATTTCTCCCCAATTGGAATTATATTATATGAGCAATTGCGGTCACAACAGAAGCATCAAAATTCTAAGTTGCTTGGGGCCAAACAGTAAGGTTTACTGAAGCTGGAGCTCTCAATTCAATTCTATGATCAGCGCAAACTAATAAGTTGAGAACACACTCAAAGTGTCCTTTATGAAGGACAAATGCGCAATTTAAGTGAATTGAAAACGCGCAAATTCTGAGGCAGACATGCGCAGAAGGGCTGGTAATAGGTATCTAGCAAAGAACCTGTGGTCGAGTGTGATTGAGTCGATGAGGGCTTGCTTAAGTGATGCCTTGGAGTCCGGGTGAAGCTTGGGCCAGTGAGAGGTGATCTTCTTGCGGAGTAGCACGGCGGCGAGCTGGCGGACGTTCGGGGTCTTGGCCGTGCGGAGATGGTGGACGAGCGCGGGGACCACCTGCGGGTCGCGGGCCAGCCGCCGGATCTGCTCCTCCGCCTGCCGACGCGCGTCGTTGTCCGGCATCAGGAACTGGATCAGCAGCAGCTCCAGCGACTGCGCCATTCCTCCCGCCTGATGCTGATTCTGGCCGCCGCCTGAAGGCCTCCTTTTACTGCGCAATCGGCCGCGCTGGCGGCGGCGGCGGCGGCGGGCTAGGGGGCAGCAAAAACCCTATCGATTTGGCGGCGTGGTGGCTCGGGCTCTGGTGGCGGCGCGCGTTGGGGCGCGGCGTCAGGGGTTTAGTAGGAGTAGTAGGGAAATTGCTGTCTTTTCGTGTTTGTTACTTTGTTTTCTTATATATTTTCTTTTCTTTGTATATATTAAATGATTTTTAAAAATTTCTGGCCGGAAGGGGAGCAGCTGCACGTCTGCTGGTTGCTGCTTTCTACGGAGGAGCAAAGAGTGCAAAGCCCTGCCACCTGTCTCGAGTGGTTGGAATGGGCCTAGCCCAATTGTACCCGTGTGATCGTGTGGACTAGAGTCCAGACCAGATGTTGCCCTCTTCTAAAGGCTCACCCAATTCTTTTTTTCGGGCCTTTTTTCGGTGAGGGTTCTTCAGAAATGAAGACAGTAGAACTTCGATTAGTTTAGGCCCAGACAAATTTTCTTCCTTTTACTGAGTTTGGAAAACCTCTACCAACTCACTTTGGGAGACATCATCTGCTACCATAACAGTGCGGACTTTTTTCATAACCATGACATCCCATTAAGGCGCTGCATCTTTTGTCCAACAGAGAACTTCATTCAGCCTGTTCGTTTCGTCGTAAACGATCGTGGATTATTTACTGCTGGCTAGTTTGGTGTGAGAGAAAAATATTGTTCCAGCTTATAATCCACGATTGTATACGAGCAAGCGAACAGGCTGATTGTTGGCAACATATTTTTCAAAAGATTGGATGTATACCAGTTACTAAAAAGGAACACATGAACCACTGACACCCTCTTGCAGTCTTGCATATTTTGGGAGGTACTTTGACCTATATTTAAGATTTCCGCTCCTCCAGTGTTGGCAAATCCATTTTACGTAACCTGCAAGACAGTTGAATCTGCAAATTGTACCGTTCTTTCCTTTATGAATCATAATATATAGATCGTCGGTACAAGTTCTAGTGCGAATGGTGAGCTCATCGCCTCATCCTGTTAACTACCATTCGGTGCGCCTGCCAGCTTCCAGTATTGAATTCCAAGCTTTCTCACCGCGCGGGCAGTTCTCAGCACGGACTTCAGCGGTATGGTTTGTGAGTTTGTCCATGCCACGGTACGATGGAGGCGCGGCGGGCCGTAGTAGAGGATCACCGTTAGCCCACCCGGACCCAGCCAGCCTACGTAAATTTTAGGAGGAATCCGCGACGAGTGCCGCGGCAGGGGAGATCCGCGAATCGGCCGCGTAGGAAAGGCTCGTCCAGCCGCAAAACTCACGTGAAAAACTGGCCTGCTCGGCCGCGTCGGCCACCCGCCGGCCGCCGTGGCAGACGAGACGACGCCCCAGCCGCGTGCGCCGGCGCACGCCCGGCCGGCCCCGCCGAGCGGGAGGCCCTTTTAAGTTCCAGGCTTCCAGTTCCAGCCCCGCAACCGCTAGTAGTCTAGTAGTACTAGCGTAGATTACTCTGCTGCCCCCATCGCTCGTCCCCGCCCCGCCGGCCTGACATCGCGTCGCGTGCCAAAGCCGAGGCGCACAAAAGCAACGAAAGCGAAAGCAAAGCGGCCACCACCTTCCCCCTCCCTCTCCTCCTTCCTCCACGGTCCCACCCGTCAGACCGAAGCCCGAGCGCCAGCGGCCATCTCTCTCGCCTCGTCTTCTCGTCCGGTCGTCCCCTAAAATGAGAAACCTAGTACTGCTGCTATAGAAGTCAAGTCACTCGGCTCGCCCGCGTGCCCAGCCACCCGGCCGCGCTCCAGAGGCGCCCACGGAGACGGAGCCTATGCCACCGGGCGCCGCGGCTGTCGCCGCCGCCTCGCAACAGGCCGACTGCTGCGGCCACGGGCCCGGGCCCGGGTCCACCTGGTGCGGCGGCGGCGGCGGCTGCGACGTCCCTGGCGGCGCGTCCTGCAGCTACCTGCCGCTACGCAAGCGGCTGTCCGTGGACGGCAAGTTCCCGGCGCCGCGGATATGCATCTGGGAGTGCGACGGCGAGGCCGGGGACATCACCTGCGATATCGTCGCCGCGCCGCTCCGCCGCAGCTGCAGCGCGAGGGCAATGCCGCCGCCGTCGCCGGCCTCGCTCTTCCGCCGGATGATGAGGCCGCCGCCCTCGCGGCCCAGGCAGCCGCAGGGGGTGGTGGAGGATGATGTGGCGGCTAGGAGGCCCGGGGAGACCATCTCCAAGGGCCACCGGAGCTACGGTCTCATGCTTAACCTGCAGCTTGGCATAAGGTACCAATGCTCGCTCTGCTACGTTTCCGTGTGTCCTTTCCTTGGGATACGCTGCGTCTCAGTGTTGCTCTGGTATTCGTGCCGTAGCTATTCGGTGGGGAAGTCATCGGCGCTGCCGTTCAGGAAGCTCTCGTCATCGGACTTCGACCCGCGGGAGAAGGTGTGGACGCGGTTCCCGCCGGAGGGGTCCAAGCTCACGCCGCCGCATCACTCCGTGGATTTCCGGTGGAAGGACTACTGCCCCGCAGTATTCAGGTGCCAGACTATTGCTCTGCTGCCCGTGGATTTTGGTCATTTGGAGAAGAATGGCAATGGTTTATGCGCATGGATACATTGCCTGACTGCTATGTGATGCCAGGCACCTAAGGAAGCTGTTCGGGGTGGATCCTGCGGACTACATGCTCGCCATCTGCGGGAGCGACACGCTCCGCGAACTGGCGTCGCCTGGCAAGAGTGGGAGCTGCTTCTTCGTTACACAGGACGATAGATTCATGATTAAAACCGTGAAGAAGGCAGAAATGAAGGTCATTCTTAGTGATAGTTTGATTTTTCTAGACTAAATATCTTAGTTCATGAGCTAGTCACATGCATGTTTTGAGTTTTCTTCGACCACTTTGATCATCTTTAATTCTGTGCCTGAACGATTTCTGCAAAATGAGATCTATCGATACAAAATAGCTTTTGTGATACCCATTTTAGCCGACACCTGCTCTCTTTTTTTTTCCTAGAAGTTAGATTCGCTGTCCATCTTTATATCCCAAATTTAGCTTGTTTGTAGGTAAGAGTACACACTAATATTAATTGGCGATATAAACATTGGTTTATTCAAAATATTCCCCTGCAGGTTCTAATTAGGATGCTGCGGAGTTACTATGAACATGTTTGTCAGTACAAGTCCACTTTGTTGACAAGGTTCTATGGCACACATTGCATCAAGCAAGCTGGATGTCCCAAGGTAAGCAATATTCACGTGAAGATACATACTCATAACTCGTATAATTCTCTTATTTGTTGTTGTGGACTTGTGGTATTTCTATGCAAATTTTCTCGACAATGACATGATGCCAACCTAACAACTAGGTCCGGTTCATTATAATGGGCAATTTTTGCTGCTCAGAGTATAAGGTCCATAGGCGTTTTGATTTGAAAGGCTCATCACATGGTCGTACTATTGACAAAGCGGAAGAGAAGATCGATGAAACAACTACTCTAAAGGACCTCGACCTTTATTATGCATTCCACCTACAGAGATTTTGGTACGATGAGCTGATGAGGTGAGTTTCGCATTAGATTGAATTAAGATAATTGGCTGCAATATCGTGACAGTTGCACGGACCAATCCTAATTTTGACTCATGTTATCGCACAGGCAAATTCAGATGGACTGCACATTCTTGGAGACACAAGGGATTATGGACTACAGCTTGTTGCTAGGAGTTCACTTTCGTAATGATTTCTCAATGTCTAAAATTGGTGTATCTCAGTTTATTGGTTTGCCAAGTAAGTAGCATAGAATTCCGTTAGTTTCAAATATTCTGAATTGTGGCAAGCATATATTTTGGCACATTAGCTGACACTCACCTATTTTTTGTTAATCAAATGTTCACTAGTTTTGATATAACATTGACAATGTGCCTGATCAGAATCCACGGGCAAAAGAAAATCATTTGAAGGTGGAGGCGATGTTTGTGAGCTTTGCTTTACGGAATCTGGATGCAAGGACAGAGATTTCATTGTTGACTCTCGGTAACATATTGCTTTCGTGTCCTCTTTCAATTTATTTTATTTTTTTGCAACTTATTCTGAACTATCTGGTATAATGAAAACTCATTATGAACGTAGTTGTAATAAAGCACCATACCCAGTGATGGGTCAATATCATGGTTATTTGTATAAAAACTGATAGATCACCAGAATATTGGGTCATAATTTTTCTCTTTTTTGGGCGCTATTGTCGTTCGGAAATTGTGTATTGCATATGTAATATGTAATATTTCACTGTTAAAAAGCTACCAATTGCTCCTGGCTACTTTTAGGTGTACCTACTCACTAGCTGCTTGCTTCTATGACTGCATCAGTTTTACTGTTTTGATAATTTGGGCACTGCCGCACCACAAAGTAGAAGCTCTGTTTCTCTAAATTGACAAGTAGTTCAATCTCCTACTTTTAGTTGGGAGATTGCTACTCTCCACTATGTCAAAGTGCTGATTTTTATGTTGTGTTTTTCAGTAATGCAATTTTATGTTCTCATCATGATCCTACTTTGTTGCTCCCTATGTAGCCAACAAACAAGAAGCATCATGGGGTCATGTGTGTTTGTTTAAGTCAAACCCTTATAAAGGAACCCTTAAGATACCTTTAACTTTTGGGGCTAATATTTCCCGAACTGTAGCTGTTGCATACCATAATAATATTGTCGAATCCTTTCCGTTGTGCTAATGTAACTCATGGTCTGCTCTTATCAGGAAACCACTGGTCCAGTTAGGCAAGAACATGCCCGCCCAGGCAGAGCGGAGGTCGAAGAGAGTCCTCGATAAGTTTCTCCTAAACGAAAGACACTTGTTTATAACCACATCAAGTGGCGGATTCCGGGATGTCTATCTCTTCTTTGGAATAATTGACATTCTACAAGACTACGACATAACCAAGAAGCTCGAGCATGCATACAAGTCCTTTCAGGTCAACCCTGGTTGCATTTCTGCTGTAGACCCGAAGCTATACTCGAGAAGATTCCAAGACTTTATTCGCAGAGTGTTTATCAGAGAACAGTAAGAAAAATTTGCCCAGCGTTAACGGGTGACTGCTCCACTGACATTTTACATCATGGGATCCATCGGTGAAGTCCTGGGTATGCGCCCAGTTCGCTTGGCTTATAAGGCCCCGTTCGGATTACCGTATAATCCGCACAGTTTATTTTTTCAACCGAAACAGTGTTTTTCTCTCATGACAATTCAATTATAATAGTGTTTTCAGTCAGTTTCAGCTAAGTTTCAGCAAGCCGAATGGGACCTAAGCCATACTTTTTCAGTCAACAAACAATATTTTTCTCCCACAACAAATCAGTCATACTTGCTTTGGCAAGCGAACAGATAGTTTCACCGATCCCGAGCGTGCCCTGAAACAGTGGAAAGGATGGTCGGTTTACCCGACGCACAGTGAATAATTGGCGTCGAGGGAGGAGCACTGCCGACACGCATGCTAATGCTGAAAGGATGCGGGCTAAAACTATAGAGCTTCGCCTTTTCAAGGACTTGTAAAATGTAAGTGCCGGTTCCATGATTGCGGAGCACATACCCAAACCTTGCTGTTTGTTTATTCTTCTTCTGCACTCGCATCTTCCAAGAATCTCAAGTAATTTAGCTTCTTGGGATGCTTGATGGATACTACCAGTATGATCTTGGCCGAATGGGGATCAGAGATTGTACATGCACATACTGTCGTGTAGTGTATACCCTAGATGGATTTAGGAACTGATGCATCTTGTCAGAGTTTAAAAAGGAATTTGGATGCATTCCTGCATTAAGTATTACTAGCATCTTGCTTTTTTGCTTGCGGTTGAAACGTCTCTTGTTCCAGACTGTTTGGATGAATGAATTCCTGAAGCAGCCATGTTCTTTTCGCCTGCTCCTGCTCTGGGTCTGGCTGACCACGGTGGTGACTGGAGACTGGAGTATGGAGGGAGGCAGAGCACCACTCGCAGTCCTGCCACTGGCTCGGCGAACTGGCGAAAGAGACAGGCATCAAAAGGAGAGAAAGCGGGTGCAGGGAGATGCTGGGACAGATCTGGTCTGCTCCTGTGGCCCGTGTCTACTAGAGTGGTGCGTTTTTCTTGCGTCCTCTCGCTGTTGCTACATGGCTAGCCGGCCTTTTCCTCCTCGTTCTCGACTTTGCTTTGTCCCACGCCAAGGCCCCGACGCCGTTTCTTCTTCGTCATGCTCATGCTCTGTTTCTTCTGTCATGCCCTACTTTGCTTGGATCTACATCTACTGTGAAAGGGCCAGCCTCCCTTCGACCCTTAAGCATCGGCAAGGCTGCAGGCCAGGTGGTCAGAGCTTAGTTCTGATCTTTAGGAACTCAGCAGATGATGCACTGCAACTGTCACGCATGACGCTTATAGCCAAGATGATACAGTGGCACTCCTATCTTCTATGCGCTGCTCGGCGGCGGCGGCGACATAGGACCAACACTCCACGCCACGTGAGAAGACAGTGTGGTACTATTTTTTATTAACTCTAACAATAAGGTTATAGCCCAAATAGTACCGACGTTCACCCTGTTCGCTCGATCGTTTCTGTGGCTTATAAGTCGGCTGATGCTGTTTTGTTGTGAGAGAAAAATACTATATCATGACTGATACGATCAAGCGAACAGGGTAGTTGTTATCAGTATCGGGATTCTGTTTTTATAATTTTATACCGTTGTATTGGGATCTTATTAATTATAATTATATAATATTTGCTTTGGTATGTTTCAAAGTTTCTTAATATTAAATAATATTTTATCACAACCATTTAGAAAGTCAATTATATCAAATGATATAGTAATCGTGGTATCGAGATATTATATAATTTTATGTAGGATTGTGTGAGGCCTGGTCCGATTGGTTGCTCGTATTAGTATTGCATTGCATTAAGGGTTACGCAGCATACCCTTAACTTGGACAAGACTATGCAATCCAGGTCATGTTTATTTCCTTTGGCAAAACTTTTGCCCAGCACTTTAGCCCATATTTTGGACAAATGGATCTAAACACCTGGGCTAAAAGTGAGCAAAAGAGGAGGGGGCTAAAGTTTAGTCCATTTGCACCTCAAGAGGTGCAAAACTGGGCTAAAACGCCTTGGGGTGCGTGAAGGACACCTCGTACCCCCACCCACCCACCCGCCCGCGACCGCGCGGCGCCTTCCGTAGCCCCTGCGTCGCGCCCTCCCTCCACCTCGGCCGGTGTGCCCTCCTCCCCCCGCGTGGCCTCCTCCACCGGCGGCGGCGCCATCTCCTCCCTCTCACCCTCCTCCCCTAGATCTCGGCGCAGAGCATCTAGATCTCACGGTTGCGGCGAGCGCCTCCCCCTCGAGCACCGCCGACGTATGCCGCTTCAGCTCCCCGCCGCCGTTCGCCGTGCCGTGGGCCGGCCTCACCCCTCGGTGCTGGCTGTCATCGTCGCCGAGCGTGCAGCTAGGAGGGTAGGGAGGAAGGGGACGGAGGGGCAAATCAGTAATTTTTTTATGAAAGACTAAACTTTTGCCATGGATCTAAATACCTTAAGGAGGACTAAAGTTTAGCAGCAAAAATTTAGGGGCTAATATTTTACCATGGCAAATGGAACTAAACAGGGTCTCGGTCTTGTTTGGTTTGCTAGATAAAAAAATTGCACACTGTTGTACACATGATTGGTTTCATGCATAGATGGTCATCTTGTATATGCTAGTGCAAACAGACTATGGCCATGTTCGCTTGGCTTATCAGTCGTACTTTTTTCAGCGAAGTAATAATGTTTTCTCTCACAACAAAACGCCAAACAGTACTTTCAGTCTGGCTTTTCAGCAAAGCGAGAGAGCCTATGTTTGGTTGATTGCATAGGTTCGTCCTTGCACAGCTCATATGGTGACCTTACCCCGCACACAAGTGCACGCATTACACTTTACAGTTTCAGAGCTCGAGATCTTGAGAACCTTTGATCGGATCACTTGGGTGCTTAAATACTTTGCTTAGCTTTATGATCCAGCTTCATTTTTGCTGAGACAGATTGACAAGTTTGTATATATATAAAATTGTGAGAATAGTTCGTAAAAATAAAATTGTGAGAATATCTCAGCAATAATTGTTGACTTTGCACTGTTGCGTGTAATTGATAGCTTAAGGCCTCGTTAGGATGCACATCTATCCACGTCAATCCATATGTGTTGGTGTGGACTAAAGTGGAAGTTGAACTAAATTCCACTCCAATACGTGTGAATTGATATAAATCAGACAACATCCAAACAAGACCTAATATTTTGATTCATCTGAGCATGCGAGTAACAATTGCTCCCTGCTAACCTTTCATACAGAAACCTTATGAAATTAATATCATCCCATCTCCTGACTCCTATCAGTGGCGAGCTCAGTACCTAGAAGCGACGACTGCAGCCTGCATGACCTGATGATCCCCGCGGCAGCCAGACGATGGTCATCGTCGTCGAAGTTGACTAGCTTGTCAAAGCAGGCTACGTCGATCTCGGATTCTTGGTGGTGGCGCGCGAGTCGGTGGCTGGAAATCTGGACGGTGACTTTATTGGAAGAGCGGCGCGGTGTCTGCACAACGGCTGCAAGAATGGATCCTGGCATGCAGAGCGGGTGCTGGGGCTCCTTGCATAGCTGGATAGTGGATACGCTGATTTTGAGCGTATAGCGGGGATGCAGGTATTGGTTACTTTGAGGAGAGTGCTATGTTGTATAAAACCTTGTACAAGTAACCAAACAATTCTAGTTTGCATTACGGTGGCCTAGAGAAAAGTTATGCGAGCAACCAAACAAACCCGCAGAATGATCGGTATTGTTTCAACTCAGCACGATCGGTAATATCGTAAGATTCTAAGATGCGGATCTTTTTCCTAACAACCTTGGATCGTACTGCTAACATTCTCTGCTCTAGGCAATTGCATTTCGGGTGAATACATTGAGTAGTTTTCTTTGAGTTGACTTGATTGCTCTTGTCGCTATAGACCACAAACCTATAGCTAGAAGTAGCTTTATGTTATTTGTTTTACTAATCAGATTTATCTAGTGTCTTTGATTTTTAGTGGTCACTGACTATTCACCCCCTATATTGGTTCCTATATCCTTTTGAACACATAATTGGTATTTATCTCCTTCCCTTAGCCTTGATATATGCCCCACAAGGTGGGGTGGACATCCTCCTAATCGGTATTTATCTCCTTCCCTTAGCCCTACTTGTGGCGCACAAGTAACACATCCACAAACACAGGACATTAGGTGTTACCTCTCCATGTGGGCCCAAACATGTATAAACTCTATGTTTCATGTGCTACCATCTAGATCCTCTACTCGAGCTCAAACACATAGTACAATTTAGTTGTGTTCAGTGCCTTTATCTATCGCAAAACCTTAGATGTCACCATTCATGTTGTGACCTGGCTGTCGAGACCATGCATATCGTGATTCTACGCGCTCGAGTATGTGTGCTTTTCATCTTTCTTAACGTCACAACAAATGTAGACAATAACCGGTGAGTTAATCTTTAACTAATTTTCTATACGATATTAATCCTTTATTGGACCTACACTTATTATTGGCTATGGAATTTATTTGATTTAATTAAAAGTTGAACCAACCCAATTAAATTCAATAAATATATAGCTTTCTCATTATAATTGTCATGAGTTGGCCCAAATAATCGCACAACGAGATATATGTCCCGTTGCAACGCATAGCCATGCTTGCTAGTCAATACTCATACGATGATTTCTATTCCAAAACTGTAAATAAGCCCTAATAAAAAAACTAGTCAAAACAAATATACTGTTCAGCCAGCTAAAATGTTTTATGTCCTAAAACATAACTGCATTTTTGCAATATATATGAAGAATAGCAGAGCTATCATCTCTGTCTATCTAATACTAAAGAGCGTTCTTTCTAACAGCTTTTTTATTTCTCAAACTGTTATTTTGGTTGTAAAACAT